GCAGTGTAGAGTAGTGCTTGTTGTTTGTCATTTCTCCGATCACAAATGCGGACATGGTTTTATGTTTACGCGGCACGATGCAACACAATGCGTAAAAAGACAGTATAAGTCATTATAATCTGTAATTATGTCCCCACTGGATGCAACAAATGCCTGGTTTATAATGGGTTTTATTGGTTTTGTCTCGTTGATCCGGCCGAGACACGGCATCACAGTATGGTAAGGAACGTAACATTTCCGTCACACACTTGAGGTATTCGGCCATTCACAACGCACTGGATAGCTGGCCAATCAGAGCACACCTCGCTTTTCAGACCGAGGAGCTTTGTAAAAATCGACGCGTTTCAGAAAGGCGGGGCATAGAAGAGAAACAATAATGTACAGTATGTGGAAAATAATGTGTTTTTTGAACCTTAAACCGCATAAACAAATGTCATTACACCAATTAATCCATTACACATCATATGACCCCTTTAAAATACAGCCACACCTGCCTGCTTCCAGTGAAGGGAGGTTAAACTGTCACATTTCTGATTTAGGAATTGCAGTGCATTTTAAGCATAGTAACAATGTGTAAAGCATCATGTATCATTTACATATATGGTTATATAGGGCTGGGCGATATATAAAGTCAGAATACTTATATACATTATTTCTAAAAGATATGAATAATTTTATTCAGCAAGGATGCGTTTAATTGATCAAAAGTGACAGTAAATACATGTTGTTATGATACAAAATATTTCTATTTTAAATGAGTTTTAAAGAAACCTTAAAGGGGTCATATGATGCAGCAAATCAGCATGTTTGGCTGGGGGGGGGGGATTGGGGCGCCCGGGCCTGGGTCCGGGTTACTTTTGAGGTCTGGTACAAATATGACATACAAAAATACAGGCTGTAGGCTCATATGTATGCACGATTAATCATTAAAAGATAGGGATCTCAATTCAAACACATCTTTTTTTTTTTCTCCAGCAGGTGCGCGCAATTACAATTATAGAATTAAATGACAAAATATAATTTTGTGGTTGCCCTTTGACCACACAATAGTCCATCATACTTTTGTTCATGCCCTAGAGACAAAAACAATGGCGAGGGCAAAAAAGAAACACGGTTCAGCCCATATTAGCCTTCTGTTACCCAGCACCTCATATCATCTAATTACGCTCTTATTCATGTGTAATTCAGCTGAGAGAATGTGTCATGTCATGAGCCACAAGAGCGTAAAAAAGAGGTGCCTTCAAAACAAGTGAACACTCATGCTTTCAGTTTGTTTTGCTCAGAGATGCAGTGGAATAAAAGTCATCCATCCCTATTTTAGCTGGCAGTAATCTAAGCCTGTATGAAAGAATATGAAGGGACTGACAGCCACGGTGTACATGCCACCAAAGATCACTTATGTATTCTAGTCATAAATGTTAAATGGTTTGTTAGCCAACAGTAGTGCTCTTTCAACAAACCAGATCAATCTGCCACATAATCTTTTAAAATTGACAGCTGCTAAATGACATTTTAATGACCTTCAACTCAGGGCCTGCCTACAGGGTGTTGTTCTGCATGCCAGCAGAACAAACAAACCCCCAAATACCTGCTTTCTGTTAAGGGATTCTGACAGCCTTTGATGAAAGCTCGACAAAGAACCACACTTACAATAGACTTTATATTGTATAACGACGTGTAAACAATCACTTACAAATCAAAACCAGCTGAGGTATGAAAACAACTAAACTGGAGTCCTGAGATGAAAACTGATCCAAACCGCTGTTGATGGATTTATGCTCTCATTCGAAAAAGAAGTAACATGAGTTTCCTACGATCAAAAACGTGACTAATGCTACTAAAAACAACTGCAACTGCCACCAACATTCTTTTAGAGTGAAAGCATGTTCTCTAATAGCAGGTGAGCTTTTTTTTGATTGAAATTATTAAAATTGATGCGAAGTACAGACTGACAACTAAAATATGCGCACAACAGCTGATCTCAATTAGCGTGTTGCTATATGTTCTTTAAACTCAGGTATCTTTTAGCTAATTTTTAAAGGAAACAATGTTTAAATATCTTTGAAGGGAGAAAAAACATCAACAATACAAAATGGTTTACATTTTTGAAGAAAGAAATCGGATGCAAATTGTGTTGCACTTATATAGCATTTATGTGTTTTTTTTTTTTTATTGTAATATCATTTATTTTAAAATACTTTACATTTTGTGGCCCCTTGAAGGTTTACTGAGGCCCCCAAGTTAACAACCACATATCTGATCTTAAAAACGGTTCCAAAAGAGTTAGAAAAAGAAATCATATAAATGAATAACAAAATAGAAACTTTTCAATATGATCACATTCTGCAAGTGAACGACAAGATTGCTTAAAAGCCATTGCATTGAAGTCCATACTAAATGAAACGCTCAGTGTTTCAGGAATATACAAAATACATATGCATTGTCGCTATGGTAGCGATATGCGCAAATGTTCAGGTTATGAGAGTAAGCTATATAACACTAATCATCCATTTATCTCTGTCTACAGGAGAAACATCACTGCTGATCGCAGCTAAAATGACGATACAATGTTAGTCAGGATCTCCAAACAGACCAGACATATCCAATAATAGCGTCGAAACGCGGTGCAGAAGAGAACAGGCAGGTTAAGAAGTAAAACACACCGACTCTACAGCGCTGCTTCTCAATGTCTAGCGAGCCCACTACCTAGACAGCATTTTGAAGCGCTTACGGTGACCAAAAACAGTCTAGGTAAGCAGCTCAGGAGGTTTTGCAGCACAGCCCCTGGTTTACAGAATTATTCAAACTTCTCCGCTTTTAGTTTACTTCAGGATGCGTTAAACTACCTTGAATCTGACAGCTGAACTGTCCCTTACTTTAAATCCTAACTAACTACAGCACAGCGAGATATACGACCACGTACTCACATACCAGCTTTAAATGTCGAACATTCTTTTCTCCTGTCATCTTGAAAGAAACCAAAAGGGGAAACAAAATAAATCTTGATGGCAGAAACAAGTGTGACTGTCTCGACGCGCAATCCTCTGCGACGCAGTATGTCTCGAGAACGCAACTTTAGAGGAATGCGCGGCTTGCGCGCGGCGTGAGCGCAGACAGACAATCGCAGGGAAGCGGCTCCTCCCACCGGCTACACACGCGCAAAGAGCCTGCCGAATGATGGCTATGAGCGGCTATGGTCTCTTCCAGTCAGGTTCTCGTTATTGGCAGGGCCATTAATCACCAGACGGCACTCCTGCGTCTCTATCAGCAATATGAACCATAATAGGAATTATGGATGTTATCGTCTGTGGACCTGCGAGGAGCAACCGTGACCCATTTGTTACACCTCGCGTATAAAACCGGGAAGAAATGATATAATATAGCTAATTATTAAGGAGAATCACATACAGATGAATGGTAAGCAGAATTACCCCTGAGCATCGGCCCAGGCATTTTTTGGTCCAGGCGGCCCACCACCATTTATATATATATATATATACAGTATATACTACCAGTCAAAAGGTTTTGAACAGTAAGATTTTTAATGCTTTTTAAAGAAGTCTCTTCTGCTCACCAAGCCTGC